TAGACGGATTACCCGTCTCTAGTGTGAAAACGGCCAATGAATCAACAGTAGCAGCGCATGTAAGACATCAGCATCTTAATAAATATGTTCCAGACGTCTACTGATACAGCGAAATTCGTTGTCTTCAGATATTGGCGTCATTCGAATTTACCAATTATTATACAAATAACTCTTTGCTCTACGATATAGCCAATATGGTTGGTAAATTAATAGTACCATGTTTGCGTATTAAAAAGCCGCTTGATCCCAGCGGAAATTAGTGACTTCGATAATCCATTGACGTAAGCCAAAAGCGTGGTTATGCACCTATTTAAAAACCCAGCTCGATCCCAGCGTGAGTCAGCTCGGAGTTCCCTTGGAGCTAATGTCTGAAACGTCAGGCTCATTCCACCCTAGCTTGCGAAATGCACTGAACACGTTCCAGGGGAAATCATGACAAAGACTCATCCACTAACTGGCTAGCCAGCTCAATAATTTAATGAATACTCAATAAATACTTAACGTGTTCACACTTTCTTATAATTATATAAACTTTGGAAAATATTTGCTAACTTGTGACAAACTCTACGTGGAGAAACAAAATAACCAGGGTATAAAAGTTCGAGCTAAACCTGGAAATTGTACGCTAAGTCGTAAAACATTGTTAAGGTTACTAGCCAAAGTTTACAGCAATTCTTCAGCACTTCTGCCTTAATGGATCGATACTACCATTCAGTTGATGATATAACAACGGTATCAAATCGTTAGTCTTTTTCGTGACGTAACAAGTAACCATAGCAACGTCATGACCTGTTACACCACTCTTGATTTTCGCTTTGAGTGCTTAGAACTCCAAAACGAAGTTCCGTCATTTCCCTTTTCGGTTCAGTTGTAATCAGTATGTCGAGAGTCCACTTTTCACAAAATTAACAAAAATTGAGGCAGCGGATTCAAAGCCCTATTGAATTTTTGAAATATTAAAGTGGTTCTGAGCCCGTTCTCACAATGTTTTTAAAATTGGCAAAAAGTTTATTTTAACAGGCCAACTACAATTTAGTAATAAACATGGGGATCAACAGACTCGTTTCTGAATCATAAGTACTTAAGGCTCAAAGTACAGAATCAACTGAAGAAAGAGTGGTAGTATCGATTCATCGAAGAATAAAGGAAGAAAATGTTGGAAAAGGGTGCGAGCAACTTAAACGCGAATAAAAAAAAAAATACTTTTTTCCTTGACGACGTAGACAGTCTAACGTTGTCTAATGAAAGAACAGTCATAGCGAAACAGCGACTCTGAAATCCCAAGTCATTCACTTCCAGTTTTTGTTTTCTTTCTTTTTTTGCTGCTGTCCAGTTCTCGCTGTATTCACACACAATTTTTACCCTAAGTAATTGCTATGATTTACTATGTGATTAATAAAACGGCACAAGAATGCAGGTCTACTGTCACACGGGTGCAGAATAAAACTGAACCTCTTTCATTTGAATCGTTATGGACGACTGTACGAGCGTAACAAAATTGAAGATTCACTTTAGCGCTGGCGCCTTCTCTACACTTAGTCTCATATTGTGAAAAAGTATAAATTCTTTTTTGAAAAAAAAAAAATTGTACAAAACTAAAGCCGACTAAACTTCATTCGGCAGTGTGAATTACAACTGGAGTGCACCACTGAGGGGCTTTTATTAATGTACTAGGGACGCTTCTTCAAAAAATAAATGATGAGACCAAAATAACACAGCAGATCATACATTTCAAAACTTTTTGATAGTCTGGGCAAGAAAATATTTCAACAAATTTATCACCAGGGTTCATAAACAAAAGGTACACGGTCATTTTTTTTGTTTTTTTTCCTTTGGTTTGTTCTATATTGAAATTTTGTGTTATTTTTTTCGTAAATGTATCGTGGGATTTATCCCGCCACGCTTTTGACGCCAAAGTCAGGGAGAAACTTAACAAAGCCCCAAAGAGTAATTAAATAATATTATTGACACTAAAGAGCGTTTTACAACCATTGGAAACGGTCGGTTAACAATAAATTAGCGATAATGACTGTGTTCATATTAAGTTATAAGTACGACAAAACATGTTTTGCGAATTAAGAGCTGCTCTTTGGCTTGGTGAAAATGTCAACAGCAGGTTGACTGTCTGTCTGGGTATTATGACGCTTGATGTCTTCGTTAACAGCTAACAAGTAATCTTCTATAAATGTTTCAAGTACTGAGGAGTAGTTAAGAAATATACTTCGATTATTTTAACGATCTCTTTAGCGAATCTATCTAAGTTAGGACGCAGTTTTCACGCGCTTATTAAATTCCCGGACGGAAAGAACGTGGATAATAAGTCTTTTGATCAAAAGGATACATGGGTGATTGTAGTCTTTATCGCCTGTAAGACTGACGTAGTGTGAACCATTGTAAAACCAACCAGGAGGTAACGGGTCGAATCTGTGCTTAGACTGAAGGAAAACAGACATCAACAATAAATAAATAATAATAAAACGACACCCATACGAGCTTTAAACTAAAGAAACCCGAGCAGCAAGCAGCTTTTAAGCCAACATAATGTCAAACTACCACAAGAAACTGAAGCACTATACGATGTTCAATATTAGTTCGTTACTTCTGCACGATTCGGAGAAGTGAAGCGTAATAATCAAGTAAACTGCATGACGTTAAAGAAATAAAAGGCTTTTACAACAGGTTTTCAAGCGGCAACTTTCTTGCGAGGGTCTTTGATATCGCGATTTTTTGGGAGGGAGGAGAGAAACTGTAAGGTATAATGAGCACTACAGTGACTTTGCAACGTGTATTATACCTCTTGGAACATTTAGTAGCAAAAGCGGCAAACTTTCCAGCAGACTTCACCGAGTAAAAATACGCTGCGAATTCTGCGGACAAGCTGGTACTACTCACACTTATGTCGGTTATCTCTTTGTCTGACAAGTCCTTCCGCATTTTCAACTTTAATTTCACTGGTGCCTGCGAACAAACAATACAAGAACTCCAGCTAGCGTCGAAACACACGTACCACGAGGCCATAAACTAATCTGTTTTGTTTAAGCTATTGTAAACATGTGCAGACTTTGCCCACACTATGGTGTTTGTTTAGTAAACCTCGCCGTTGTGATCGGGCAAGAACAGTAGCGGTGTTTTTCAGTCTCCACAGAACCACAACAAGGATCAAGTTCCGAGCAAGACTTGGATTTCTTTCCGTTTCCCGCATAATTTTGATCTTCTCTTGGGAGTGCCAAATGCCGACTGACTGTAATAGATTTCTTTTCATGTCCTGACGAATTTGGAGATTATTTGTTGTGAAAAGTGATAATGTCAAAAGTTACACAAGACCACAGTTCCTCGGCGCTCGGGAGCTTGTATTAAAGTGACAACTTTCCTTCAAAACATACCGGTTTACAGCAGGTTTTGATCCAATCTTTCAAGACCTGCTGTTGAAGATGAAATCCCGTGAACACAATGAAGTACTCGTGGATTCCCTCTATGGTGCCATTCTGTCGGGCCTTTGCTGATGGGGGTCGAGGAATTGCAGCGCTATCTACAGGATTCATTCTCAGCACCCCATTCAGACGGCACCACTGAACGTGCGCCTTCTTATTAGGAGCCTCTTCTGTCAACAAGAAACAGTTTTGAACTGTCAGTTTTCATACATCCCGGCTTTGCAAAAGAGACATTATCGTCAGCTCACCTGAGAAACAGACATGGCCCTGTAGACTGTGAATCGCTCCTGCCATGAACACAATAATGTAAGAGTCACTGTACGTCAATTATACTTCACGGAAATGGGTGAAATGTAAGAAGTGTGTGTTGTGATTGAGCTCACCTGTTTCTCGTATTCCTTTGGATGATACGGGTCCGTGAAGTGCTGCAACAAAGAATGAATGTTACAATTCATCACTGTTTCGCTAATAACCGATTTTTTTTTTTGTCAGGTCAGTCGCCCAGTCAATCGGGCATTCATAAGTTCACTGAATCACTATATTGACATTTCTTACCTTTAAGATTAGCAACAAATCTTGACTTGTTTAATGGTCCATAAAACGATACACTAATCTAAAGGGAGGGTTGACATAGAACATTTAGACTTCCGGATTAATTCAGGCTTAAGCTACAATCGAAATCAGTAAAATGATTATAAATCTGGCGTATGACTTTTGACAGGGTGTTATTCTCTAAGCATTGGCTATTCATTTCAGTAGAAGATGGAGTCGATATTGTTAAGACAAATACGCCGATAACTTCTGTACAGGTTCATCGAGACGTGCATCACTCAAACTAAACCAACAGTCGTTCCCATGGGCCCGTTTCTCGAAAGCCCCGGAAACTTTTTGGGCCCGGAAAGCCATAGCAAAATCTCGAACCTTACGATTACAGCGCTGTTTTATTCACATAATCTTAATATGAACAGAGGTTCCCTTCATACAAGGAGTTTCAGGTGTATACATTTCTCCGTTTTTAGATACAGATAAACTAAAAAAGGCTTTACGGGCCCGAAAAGTTCCCGGGGCTTTCGAGAAACAGGCTCCAGGACTATCAGACTGATGACCCAGATAATCACAAACTAATCATAGTCCTGGGTTCAGACTAAAAGGAAGAACAGTTCTACAATACCTCGTTAACCTGCGGGTCTGCATGCCCAGAGGAAAACAATCCCAGAGACCTTCAAAAAGAGAAAGTTAGTAAGTAAGAGGCATAGAGCCTTGCATTCATGATCTATTCTGTGCGGGGACGTACCAGCCTGGACACATTAACTGCCTCTTCTGAGTCATCTTGTCTTCATCAAATGCACTGTCTGACAAAATTAACTCCACATCAGGTGTCCTGCGAAGACACACAGACACAAAAGACCGTCAGGCAAAGCGAAAGGAATCCTGTAAGCTGTAATCCGCAGTAGCTGTTTGGGCTTTACAAACGAAAACTTGAAAAGCAAACCGCATTATTATGTATGTTCGGTACCTTGTGACTTCTCCACCTTTTGCAAGAATAAAGGCCACATCAGGGTTACAAGCTCGCACAAGTTTCTGAACCAAACTCAGCTGCTCATTCTGCAAATAACGATTCGACAAAATTCAGGTGGGCAAAAGATAAATATCTATCTGAGGCAAAATTAGAGTTAAAAACAAGAGTCTCTCGGGTTGGTCCTTTTCTCACCTGTGGCTCTAGACAACTCGTGAACACAGCATTGTTGACCAAACCTGTTTGGAAAGAAAAACGTTTGTAAGACGGATTAAATCTTGCATGTCTTGTTCACAAGTAAAATGTCTACATAAGATTCTTAACTTCTGGTTTCTGTACGATTGGATGTTAGTCTATTACAGGCTACAGGTTGCCCTAATAATTTCACTGGTACCCGTAAATACCGGGGGCTAATGACTAGTGCGCTGGTCTTTGGATAGAGCGGACACTTCACTCTCAGTGCCTCTCTCCACTCAGGTGTATAAAAAGGTATCGGTGAGTTTAATTCTCGGGGGTAAATCTGCACTGTATGATGAACTAGCATTCCATCCAGGGGGAGTAGATATACTCGTAGTCGCTTACATGCTACATAACCCGGGACAATTTAAGCTCCGGATGTATGGACCACTCGACTTTTCCTCTACCTTTTACTATTTGTGTATCTGGAGAGAGGGAGTGATTGGTTCGTTCCCAATTTAAACAGTACGTTGTAAAACGACGATAAGAGGATAAATAGCGCGCAAACCTTGAGCACACTGTTCCAGCAGTTTGGGCAGCGTCATTCTGTTGAGAAGAACAAACCAGTTTGAAAGTCTTCCTCACTTGATTAACTGCCCTAAACATACATATGAAGACAATACCCCAAGCATTGACGATTTTTATCTTTATTTTTATCTTTATTTTTATTCATATCATCTGTCTGTTTGACGATGTGGATAAAGTACTTCTGAAGCATCCGGGGACACTTTTGCTCCAAAATCCCACCAAGGAAAGTTGAATGTGCGTACGTTTTTAGTGAAAGCGGTTTTCTAGATAAGATTACAAATCGCTGACAACCTGACGCAAAGACTTCTGATATTTTCTTATTGCAATGGCGAATCTTTTGCAGTATGATCCATTTCAGTATGGTATTGCAGCCGGACCTGTTTTCCATGAAGGTATTAAGCGGGTCTATACAGCATGTTACAGCTCCTATCTTGAGACACTTGGCAACTTCTGCATCAGGATGAGTTCTTATGGCCTGCACTACATCTGCGACATCTGTAAACCTTATAACACAATGAAACAAAAGTCACATTGCTACAACAGTTGAGGACAGCTTAATGGTGAAATCTGAGTCGTGATTATGGACGCCGTCATACCCTGGTGTTACTACAATAACACGGAGTCTTTTGCCACTTGCGGACAACCTTGCATGAAGGCGCCTCTGACTTGACAAAGTGTTGGTCAGGGATTCCTGTAAAACTAGTAAAACAAAGCAATGACATATTACCCTTTACAAGCGAACGAGTTTACTTCAACAGAAAATCTAATAAAGTGGAAAGTTCCCAAATTTTGATCTGAACAGAAAGAGTGCAATATTTCTTTTTTTCACAAAACCCTGTCCTTGAAAATCTGTCAGAAAGTGCAAAAGCCCCTCATCTGGGAACGTCCAAGATTTTGTAAAGACAATTTTGCTAGCTACAATGTGCGGCTCCTTTAAAAAATTCAGACAATGAAAACCAAGATTTGTTGAACCATTCATTCCATCTTTTATCAACGATAATATCGTCGTCAGTTATTTACCAACAACATTGTCCGGTTCGATACTACGTGTTTAAGGCGAGAAATTACGGAGGAAGGAAACGGAACATGTTATTCAGTTACAAGCTAAGAAACGAAACACACCTTTAGGATCAAACGGATCTGAATTGGTTGCAGGTCTCTGTAAGATTATCCATCTGTCAATAAACAACAAGGTTAGTCACTGACGAAAGTTCATTACCAAGTCAAATACAAAATATCGCGAGTCATTCAAAGGAATGTTATAACTTACCTGCTGTTCTCCTTGGCCAGTGCCACAAGAGCTAAACACAGCGAGTCTTTACCACTGCCGGGTACACCAGTCAGTATTGTTAATAACAACTAAAAAACAACCAAAACAAATATCATTCTTAAGCAACGCACATCTCTCTTCCTATAGCACTCCAAAAGTATTTACGTAAGTAAAGTTTACTTCCTGTTTTAGCAACCTATAGGAGTCGTAACTATCGGCTGTTCGCTACTCTTAGGCTATCGTTACGTTGACCAAGTCAAGTTCTCTTTACAACGGCATAGAACCGAAGAATCCACCTCGGGAGTGGATTGTTCGGTTCCTTTGACGCATCATGATCCGAGAGATCTTGGATTGATCTGTTTAGTAAAGAAACGCAAAATCCGTTTTCGGATTCTTTCGGATTTAAGAATCCCAACTTGGATTTTCTCGAAGAAACGCACCCAAAGTCTTAACAAATCAGTCAAAATTCTGAATCAGTCAATCACAGGGTTGCCACCCATCGAAACAAAAAAAAATCCCTGACTTTTCATTGCCTGTTAAGCCATTTTCACTGACCCTGCAGGATGACTATTCTGGCCATGAATCAACAAAAATAAGGATGGCTCAAATAAACACAAAACTACCTTGTCCATACAAAAACATAAAATAAAGTAATTTGCAGTAACCTTAACATAAAAATTCCTTGACTTTTCACTGACTTCGAACAGGGATTTAGAAACTTCCTGACCTGATACAAAACTCCCTGACTTTTCCCTAACCTTGAATAAAATCGAATTTTCCCTGACTATTCCCTGACCGTGACAACCCTGAATCAGGATAAACATGTATATACAACAGTTATCGGTCACAAAGAAACTCGTTTACTTTTATCTCGTTTCCCTTTTGGAGAGGATCGTTACTGTTTGTCAAATGACTACTTTTAGGTGGTCGCTGTTTTCGGAAGATGATCTACAGTACAAATAAGAATTCCTAGCAAAACGTGATCAGCGGTAATTATAGATGACGCATGTGCTGTGCAGCATGATTACATTCACAACTAAGAAGTGTGAATCGAGTTTATAATCGTTGAAAACTTGTGTAATACACTAGTTCTCTGATCACCTCAAAATCCTGTGACTGTTTCTGTTCGCCTGCGGGGCTGCTGCCTAGAAGTACTGGTAGATCGTCACATTTTACGGGCTTATCACCTAATGAACTACTCACAGAGCAGTGACTCAAGAAGCTAGAAAAATAACAAAGTAAGGTATTTAGATGGCTTACATTGCAGACTAAAAGAAAAAGTATGACGGAGTGCTACAATAGCAATGAAGAAACGAAGCTGCACTTGCCTTTTCAAACTGGGCGACAAGACTTCAGCTGTACTCTGTATATCTGCTGTACTCTGAAGCTTTAGCTGATGTTGTAAATACAAATACCTGAAAGAAGTCAAAATATGAACAACGCCAGTGGAATTCCAAGTGAAGTCGAGGATTGGTTCATAAATGTTAATGAAAAAATGTAGTACTCACTGTTCTTTTAAATCAGCCGGTAACTCTGAAAATGAATAAAAACAAATAGTAAAAGTTCATTGGAAAGAAACGCGCAATAGCAACAGTGCTGTAAATAAGCCTTAATACAGTGCAATAATACAATACACATCCCGCGTATGACCACTTTCGACGGAAAACAGTGGAGCGACCTCTGACCAAGTTCACATTCCGTACTCTCCGTGCAGTTAATACCCAGAACATGCCTGTTTTACCACTGATAAGTTATTTACTGATATATATAACCAGTTCCCTTCATTTGTCAAGTTGCATTCTTACCAACTACAGTTTCAAACTGTGGAAAGTTAGGCAGTTGATTTTCTTTCCACAGATGCATCACATCAGAGTAAAATTGTCTGTAGATCCTTGAGCGTGGTGTGAGAGCCAAAACCAAGCAGCCATGTTTCCTTGTGAGATAGCAGGGGAGATTATCCTCGATGCTGGAATGATATGTTAGGACCAGAAGTGCTATGGAGCTGGTGGAAGCCTATAGGAACAACAACAGATTTCATTATGTCGTTATTCCTACACTATACGAATGCCGTCTAATCAGCGAGAAACAAGTAATGCGTTGGTTTAATGACAGGCCCTGAAAGGTAGAAATGTTGTTGGTTTTAAGGTTTAGGTCTTCCATCTAGGACAGTTGTTGTTTTTTTATTTATCGTAAACTATTCTTAGTATTCAACGGCTCATTTCCACGACACCAAGTAATTTATAAGTGTCAAGCAAGGAGCTACAACAAGAAATGTTCTTAATGTCAACTTGAATGAATTCCGTCAAATATTTAAACGAGACACTGAAATCGTTTTTAACAGCACGATATCACTCACAATAATGTCTACTTAAATTTCAGGTAAACAGACTAGGGAAATTGCAAATTCATTGCACATATACCTTGTCATAAAACTGCACTTTAGAAAGATTGGAAGTCGGCAGAAGAATAGCACCAGCTCTGGGATGAATGAACAGAAAGCCTTGCTCATATATATACAGAGAACCTGAAAGACAACAACATCAACAAAGCTACTGAAAAAAAAAATACATTTGTACCTTTAATTTGTTAATAAGTCTTAAGTCTGTTAACTTAGAAATAGCAATTACCAAAAATAAGTCGTCACAATCTAATGAAGAAAAGAAAAATTACTCCCACTTGGAATTTCTTCCCAGTTAAAGTGAAATAAAAAATATCTACAATAAATTTGTCATAAAACGAATGCAAACTGTTAACATCTAATTTGCTTTCTTCTTGGTTTGCCTCCGGCCTTAACATTTAACACCTCATTAGCTAACCCTTGGTTAAAACGAACGTACTTAATATATTTACATAGCTAACCTGCCTCCCATCTGTTGAATAAACTTGAAATAAACACTTGATTGCCACAGAGCAGTTGTTTTCCCAACACTTCGCTATCAACCTTGGACTTCATAACAGAAAAAGTAAAAAGGGTCACAATGGCTGAGGAATGTTTTGCAAAGAAATCCATTAAAACAATTCATAAATTAATGTTAACTACCTGGCGTAACCTGTTAATCCTTAGATAGTCAACGCACCTCATGAGAAAATACTCAATTACTGATAAGTGTATTTCTCCCAACCACAAAAACTGGCAAAATCCAGCCTTTCCCATACAGAAACGTAGGGCTTGCAAGGGTTTACATGAATTTTCTTCTACTTGCCAATAAACCAAGCACATAAGTCTTGTCAGAATGATTCATGTACAGGAGTGTTATACCTTGGCAAAAGACTCCATCTCTTCAGATATTTGTCTTTCAATGCCATGTCCCTGAAAGGAAAAGAAAAACGTATTAGCCTTTAAAAAATCTCAACAAAGCGACCTCAAATTACTAATTAATCGTGCTACTTTACCTTCCATGAAACAAATCTAGGGATGTTTTCCGTCAGGAATACAAATGAGCTATTCCATACACTTGAACTGTCTGCAAATCATGGAGTCAAAATAAGCATGATATCTGTTTACACTTAGTTCTGCATCTGAAACAAAGTACAGGTGATTCGTACCTGGAACAAGTGTCTTGATTGCAGAGTCTAGGAATGATTCACCAAACACTACTGAACCTAAAATCTGCCCAGGATGTTCCACACTCGGTACATCGTACAAATATAAGCACGCCTGAAAGTGAAACAAGTCACTTGACCTTTATCAATTGAACTACAGTTGGAAAACCCAAACAAACACCAGCAAGGGAATTCTCTGATAAGACGGATAACCGTGGCTTCTTATCGGTACCAATCAATTAGTAAAACCTATTAAATGGGTAGCTTACTCTTTTCACAGCACAGAGTGGTCTGTTGTCTTGGAGATGAACACTTCTAAAGCGAGAAAACAAACAACTACATTTATATATTTGCTCTTTCTATTTTGTGCAAAAATGCACTGATCGTTTCAACCTTTAAACTCAATAATACACGTATCTTAATCTACAGTCACAAGTTAAATTAAGAATAGAATGTCAGTATTTTAATAATCCCTGATATGGCTTGCCAGCAGAAAAAGCTGTTTGATCCAAAGAATGTCCAGCTGTCTTGTATGAGAAAGGCTCGTGTTTAGGTTAGTGGTATTACCAGCCAAAAGAAGCATGTTTCTAAGGGACAGCTGTATCTATGTACATGTATCCAGGGACCAGCTGTATTTAGGTGCATGTATCCAGGGACCAGCTGTATCTAGGTACATGTATCTAGGGACCAGCTGTATCTAGGAACATGTATCCAGGGACCAGCTGTATCTAGGTACATGTATCCAGGGACCAGCTGTCTCTAGGTACATGTTATCATTACGGTCACACTGAACAATACTAAAAAATTGCATGGTGTACCTGCCATGAGAATTGCAAGCATGAATGGAAAATTCCACATTGCTCGACAAAAAAGAGGATTTCACTTCAACACGTCTCTCCTCCCAACCAGTCTTCAGCACGGACATAACAGCTGAGTAACTCTAAAAGTGTCAAAAATAGAAAGAAAGTTGAAATATAAATCTGTCTACTTTTTTGGCAAAGAGGATAACTCTAGTAACAACCTACAATTCAGCAAACTGTCCGGAAATGTTAACTCAGGAAAATATTTAAAACAACAACAATGTGAGAATACATGCATGTAATTATAAAGTCACCAATGCTGCTGTTGTTATTGCTGTAATTTGTTGTAAGACATGAAAAGTACCTTTTGTTTGTTAAACGCTTGTGAAAATGTCTTGACTCCCTCTACAACAGCAGTGATTGACAGAAGGTAAAGATCCATAAGCAACCTGTATGTATATTAACAAGAGATAAATTAGTCACATGACATTCCACTCAATAAAGTGCAACATTTCTCGTTGCCTGGCCTGGTCTTCGGTGCTATGGCTGGCCTTGTGTTGAGCAAAGGATGTCACTAAGGGCTGGCTTATTTCACCGGCGGAAAGACAACCTAAATCTGGGTGAAATTTCACGTGCACAAAAATACAAAAAGAGACTTGAGTAAATTTTGGAGCCAGAAAAGCCAGCTGGGTCAGCTTAGTGTTTTCTTAGTTACAGCACATCCCATTGTGTCAAGCCAGAGATTAAAGAGTGTCACCAAACTGTTATCAGCACAGTGCCTCAGTCCCTTTAACACATGAACACGTACACAGGTGACTAACTTCTGTCCAAGAGGAATAATGAATACCTCAAGTCCTTACTGTGCACAATTGATGACTTCTTTGCCGTATCACTTAATGAGATTGGTACAAATCCATTTTGTAGAAAATAAGTTCTTGCACATGTCATTGTCCCTTTAGGCTCCACAGCAAAGCAGACCTTTGGAAGACAATTCCCAATAGCTCAAGTTGAATTAATTGGTTCAATTCACTTCACCATGATCTACAGCACACCACTCACTCATCATTGTCTTATTCTTCATTTTGTATAGTTTGTTTAAATTCACTTATTCACCTTGATCGTGCAAATATAACTAATCCTTTTAAATAGTTGCAAAATACAATGTAAGCAATTACAAGGAAAGCTGACACAGGAATCAAACCACTGAGCCATTGTGTTAGCAGTGTAACATGTTTGACCAGCTAAGCTAACAGTAAGCTCTAGTTCTACTTGTTAAGATCTTACCATTTGTAATGCAGCACTGCCACCAATGCCACTGTTACCAATGGTTGTGTTATTGTTCAACAAGGACTGTCTCTCGGAATTGTGGATGTTTTGCCTTGAGGAGTGTGATCCCAGAAGGACAAATGGCTTATAATCACTCAGAGAACTGTCCAGAAGAAAATTTAAAAGAATAAGTCAGGTCAGTTCTAGCTACAACAATAAGGCCTATTATTATTTCATTACAACCTAAACAATAATAGTAATTTATTATACATAATTACGGTATTGATCATTAGTATGTATGGTGTGACATCATTTTAGATGTAAAGTTGACCAGCTGAGTAAGAAACACTGTGTGGTTTTATTCATGCCAAACAAGGTTTGCTTAACCCCTTGAGCCAGAGTGGCACATAAGGTTTGCCTGTACCTAAAGATGATTGCACTTTGGCAGGGCTCAAAGAGTGCCATCCCTTTGTCCCAGACAAGTACATTTTCCTTCCGGGCAAGTACAGTAACTTTTCATTCTCACTTGCCTGTTGGGCAAGGGATCAGGCAAGTCATCTGCCAACTAAATCAATAAAAAAGTACACTAAGATTTGCCCAGGGCAAGCAAAATTTGAGAGCCACTTGTCCCAAGGGCAAGCTGGAATTGAAGTTTTTGTCTAGCTCTGTTTGGAGTTCATGTTTGCATAAATTTTAGCTTACATGTACCTCATGGTTTTGTCTCTGTCAAGAATGTGTCCATGAGTGAAATAACTTACAATGGGCTGCAAGAAGAAAAAAGTTCTTATTGTGATGATTAATAACACATTTATTTTATTTACTGTTTTGAATTCTCCAATATAGCTAATGCTTGTGCATTTTACTAGCTCAAAATGTTTGAAGCATGCTAATTGTGCAAGTCATATTGGCAAGGATTGCGGTAGATAGCACAGGTTTATGAAGAAATTGTTGAACTGCGCTCACAACAGTGTTGTCTGTACAGTCATATGGAATAGATCTTTTTAAGAGCCACACAAATACCTAGTGGCTACATTAGAAATTGAAATCACTGCAAACAGTGTCTTTCAAAGATGGCAACAGGTGCCTAACCTACCTCACTTAAACTCCTTTCTGTAACTTTAAGCAGTTCATCAGAGCTACAGAAAAGCAAAAAGGGATTTAAGTCTTTGGATTTAAGTTCAAGTAGTAAATATGGTACAATGTTTAGCTACACCTGCACAAAGAAAACCTGTACTAATAGGTCAGCCTTTATTAAGCACCCACTTGTCAAAGTCCCACCAATCGTTCCCTAAATTTCTGTAAATTGGACCTCTATAAAAGGATCACCTCTATCAAACAGTTGAAGTCACCCTTTCAAAAGTATGTACATGTATGTATCAGCATATATAATTGAACTGTACTAGGCCCTTCCAGGAGTACAGATTTGACTGTACAAATTAAAAGAGATTTCTGTCATTTAATTCACCAGTCAAGCTCACCTTTCTGTATCCACATTTGTCAGAACAGATTTACAGTGACGTTCAAATAAAGGAAGAGTCTAGTGACAAATAAGAAGCTAAGTTATTAACCCTGCAAGGAAATAAAGACAAGCGGCAAGAATATTTATGTTGAAAATAGACTTTGAGAGCAGTCATTACACTTTGAACAATATTAGCGATAGTGGTTACTAGACAGGGGTGTTACGTTCTTTTTTTTCACATTTTTATTTCCATTCAACGGCTTACATCTCACACTTACATTCTTCCTAACTACTGTAGAACTGTCTACTACTCTTGTGACGCCTAAAAACATCTAATGAGCTGAGGTGTTACTACAGTACACCTTGATTGTCAAGGGTTCAAAACATTTACATGTACCTCTTGGACAAAGGTTTCCACCACCACGGGGTCCAACAAACCATAAATTGTGTCCAAATCTTGAGTCACATCAACAACCTGATATTAAACATCACAACAATCATTCATCTAACATTTGGAATTAGAATTTAAGACATTTTTTTAAAAAATATCTACATGTGAATTAAAAAATTAATGGGTTATAAGTGCTTGTAACAGATCAGGACAGGGTTAATTTTTCAGTTAGCCAACAGAATTCAGGGGAATTAACAAGTATATCTGTTGACCAGTCACAAAGCATTGCTAACGCACCAAGATGGGTGCCAGTACACATGTCTGTTTGGTTTTAATAACCAATCCAAATGTGATTTGTAAAAGAAAGTGCAAAATGTGATATTTGATGCCTTCTCTTACCTTATGATGCATGGTGAAAAATCCACCACTGTAGAGAGAAATTTGTTATTTTTTAATAAGGTATATGAGTTTTAATAAAGTCTAAGCTAAAACATGCTTCTTCAAGACACACCTCCTTTCCAAAATGAGAACAGTACATTAATTGTAAAAAATTGTCCAGTTCTTAGAACTGCCTTCATGGTTCTACCATAAGAATGGCACATGACTCTCAACTCAAGTGTTGACTTAACTGTGAAAATGGACCAATCAGAGGGCTTACCAGAATCTGGTAGAGTGGAAGGAGAATTTGTTAAATATTCTCACAGACATTCTTTTGCTCCTCACTCCAAGCCCTTCACTTAGATTTTTGCACTGCTCCCCAACTAACCAATCAGCTGGAACAGGCTATTCTTATGCTAGATATTGTATACATGTATGTGTTCAAGTATAGAAATATGGCCAGTTCAATTTTTTATCATCCTACATTCAAAGTATCAGTTTCCACTTTTATGATAACTGCAGAATTTCCTGTGCGTTCATTGGCTAATTTTCATTGTCAATAAGCAGACAGACACATGAACTTATAATTGATGCAATGCATCAACTAGCATGAGTGGACAATTTGACAATATTGTTAT